CTGGGCCCTCTCGGTAACGCACATCACTATAAGCCTTGCAAGCAATGTGACTAATGAGTTAGTTGTGAGATGATGCATTACATAACGAGTAAAGAGACTTGTCGGTAACGAGATTGAACTAGGTATTGAGATACCGACGATCAAATCTCGGGCAAGTAACATACTGATGACAAAGGGAACAACCTATGTTGTTATGCGGTTTGACCGATAAAGATCTTCGTAGAATAAGTAGGAGCCAATATGAGCATACAGGTTCCGCTATTGGCTATTGACCGGAAACATGTCTCGGTCATGTCTACATAGTTCTCGAACCCGTAGTGTCCGCATGCTTAAGGTTTCGATGACAATTATATTATGACTTTATGAGTTTTGATGTACCGAAGGAGTTCGGAGTCCTGGATGAGATCGGGGACATGACGAGGAGTCTCGAAATGGTCGAGACGTAAAGATCGATATATTGGACGACTATATTCGGACTTCGGAAAGGTTCCGAGTGATTCGGGTATTTATCGGAGTACCGGAGAGTTGCGGGAATTCGCTGGGGAGAAGTATTGGGCCTTATTGGGCCATATGGGAAAGAGAGAGGGGCTGCCTAGGGCAGGCCGCGCGCCCCCCAAGGCCTATTTCTAATTGTACTAGGTGGAGGGGTTGCGCCCCCTCCTTCCTTCCCTTCTTTCTTCCCTTTCCTTGACTCCTACTCTTACTACATGGAAGGGGGGGGGGGAATCCTACTCTCGGTGGGAGTAGGACTCCCCAGGGCGCGCCATAGTTGAGGGTCGGCCCTCCCCCTCCTCTCCTCCTTTATATACGGAGGAGGGTGGCACCCCATAGACACAACAATTGATCATTGATCTCTTAGCCGTGTGCGGTGCCCCCCTCCACCATAATCCACCTCAATAATATCGTAGCGGTACTTAGGCGAAGCCCTGCGTCGGTAGAACATCATAATCGTCACCACGCCGTCGTGCTGACGGAACTCTCCTTTGACACTCGGCTGGATCGGAGTTCGAGGGACGTCATCGAGCTGAACGTGTGCTAGAACTCGGAGGTGCCATAGTTTCGGTGCTTGATCGATCGGGCCGTGAAGACGTATGACTACATCAACCGCGTTGTGCTAACGCTTCCACTTTTGGTCTACGAGGGTACGTGGACACACTCTCCCCTCTCGTTGCTATGTATCACCATGATCCTGTGTGTGCGTAGGAATTTTTTTGAAATTACTATGTTCCCCAACAGGCGGCTCGGGAGAGGTGTTGGACGGCTGACAGGCTTGCGCATCGGCACCTACCGCATCCTCCGGCTTGCCCCTTCTGTGATCAGGAGCCGGAGACAATCAACCACATCCTTCTCGGCTGCGTCTTTGCTAGACAAGTGTGCCTTTTCATTCTCGACCACCAGGACAAACTAACTTGGTTGCCAACTGCGGATGACAATCTGGTGGAATGGTGGACCTCCATCAACCCGCAGCCAAAGCTTAGGAAGGAGACATGGACCGTCATTGAGTTGGTGGCTTGGATGTTGCGGAAACACAGAAATGATGTAGTGTTCAATGGAGCGACAACCTCCACAAGTGAGATCCTCAGGAAGATTGATCTACAAGGGCAAGACTGGAGGGCAGCAGGGCTACTGCAAGAGGCGGGATCGCTCCCGATTAGAGTAGATGAGTGGGCTAGTAGTGAGTAATCGGCATGTCGAATATTGGCTTCATAGCCGTAGCTAAGTTGTAAAATTGTCTGTCTTTCTAGGCGTCTTCTATCTATGATCTCAATACGTCAGCTTTGATGTATCCTTGAAAAAAAAGACTGTACTAGATCGTCTCGGGGATAGGACTTGTGGGAAGGTGGGCAGTGGCAATAAATCCATTCGGCGCGAATCGGCTAACACCCACGCATCTATAGTATCTAAATAGGAGCACTCCACTACTTGATTTCTCTAGACATGCGGGCTATCCACATCATCAATCCACATGCAACCTTCTATCTAAGAAAATCTGCCACCCCACTACTTTATTTCTCTAGACATGCGGGCTATCCACATTACAATGAAAAGACATTGAACTACCCACAAATATTCCTTCATATCTACTTTCTAACAGTCAAAAACCTAATGCTTTCAAGAAATATATGTACTAATTAATCTAGAAAAAAGCATTCTTGAACCCATACATGTTTGAGTCAAAAAATGAAACCAGTATAATTATCGAATTCAATGACCATGGAATATAGTTTATTTCACCGCGTATCTGCATGAAAAGAATAGTAATGGTTACTGGTTAAAGCATGAATTTGTACAAAATAGCTTAGCAAGAGAAAAACAACGATCATATATTTATGCAAGATAATAATGGATGAGAATACAAAAGGGAAAAGGCTCAAGCTTCTATGTACCAAATGAGACAGAAAATCGTATTCTTATCCCAAATTAAATTAATAACCGCGACATTTATTAAGAGATAAAGAAAAAAGTTAAAAGAGAAAAAAACATCATTACATAATACTTTGAAATGAGATGTTCAGCATTACATAATACTTTAAAACCGCGCTATTTTGCAGCCAGAAATGACTCGTGAACACAGGGTCTCGATCGGATACGAATGCTCCTGGCAACCCATGTACCTTGTATACTTGCTGGATGAAGAGTTGAAAAACTGAAGCTGCCGTGTAAGGGTGCGCCAACGGCAAGAAGTAGCTAAACTTGGTACTCTTATCGACAATGACCAACAAGCAATTGAATCGACTCGATTGTGGGAGGCCATCCACGAAATCCATGGTAATCATATCCCATGGTTTGGTAGGGATAGGTAAGGGCAGTAAGAGGCCCGGTGACGCCGCTCTGTCCGGCTTGGCTCGCTGACACACTGAACAGCACTGCACGTAGTGTTTGATCTGAATCTTCATCTTGGGCCAAGCAAAGAGGCGTCGTATGCGTTCGTATGTGACTGGGAATCTGGAGTGGCCACCTAGCGGGCTGTCATGGAAGGCTTGGATGATTCGTTGTTGTATATGTGTTCCCCCTCCGAGCCATATCCTCCCACGGAATCCGATGATGCCCTGCTGAAGAGTGAATCGACCTTTTGCATCATCACTTACTACTAGCTGTTCCAGAAGTTTCTTCGCGTGAGGATTGTTGTTGTAGCTGTTGACAACGTCTTCCAGCCACCCCGGTTTACATGATGTGACCATGTGCAATGTCTCAGCTTGGTTAGCTCGTGAGAGGGCATCGGCGCCGTTGTTTTCTGTTCCCTTCTTGTACTTGATGCGATACCTGAGCCCCAACAGTTTGGTGAAAGCTTTTTGCTGCCACGGGGTGCTGAGTCGCTGCTCGTCTAGATGTGTGAGGCTGTTTTGATCTGTGAAGATGACAAACTCGGTGTGCTGCAGGTACGGACGCCACTGGTCCACGGCAACTATGATTGCCAGGTACTCCTTCTCGTATGTCAACAGCCCCTGATAACGCGGGCTCAAGGCCTTGCTCATGAACGCTATCGGGTGTCCCTGTTGCTGCAGAATTGCTCCTATGCCACGGTCGCATGCATCAGTCTCCACTATGAATGGTTGATCAAAATTTGACAAGGCCAGAACCGGTGTTGTGATGAGTTGTTGCTTGAGAACCTGAAAAGCAGTTTCAGTGATTGATGTCCAGAGGAATGGACACCCTTTTTCAGTAAGTTAAAGAGCGGTCGAGCAATCACTCCAAAGTTGCGCACGAAACGACGGTAGTAGCCCGCGAGTCCCAAAAAACTCCTGACTCCCTTGACATCTTGTGGAGGGGACCAGTTGGCCACTGCTGCTATCTTGGTTGGATCTGTTGACACACCTTGTGCGCTGATGACATGGCCCAGATAAGAAATTTTGCTCTGTCCGAACGCACATTTGCTGAGCTTAACTTTCCAGTTGTCTTTGCGAAGTAACTCCAGCACTTGTTGCACATGACACTTGTTGACATAGGGAGAGGCCCTGCCGCCGCCCTCACTGGACCCCGCCCAGGCTACGCCGGCGAAGCGCCCCCGGCAGCGGCGAGACGAGAAGGGGAGGGGAGAAAGCCCGGCAGCGCTCGAGGGAGTCGCCCCCCGTGTCGCCAGAGGAAGGCGACGCGGGGGTGTTTCTTCAGATTGTTTCAATCTCCGATCCTCTGCGCTTTATCCAGCCGGAAGCACACTGCATAGGAGGCACCTCAATGGCTGAAAGAAGGCACACTGAAGACAAGCTCCGGTTTGCTAGTCTTGGAGCAGTGACTGCTTGTGGCTTACCCGGTACATACAACCAACCTACTACGTCAACCTAGACAGCATGCATCATATCTGTGCTACCAGTGCTACAACCAGAGTCTTTGTGCTACCAGTGCACCAAACAACAAAAAGTTGTACTATAAGTTCTGGATAATTATCAAAATAATTGAGTATAAAGAAATAGCATACATCTAACGTGCTACAAAATTTCAGTCGTAAATTCGCATACCATTTTTTTGAGGCAAAAAGCATACCAAATTCGGTTGTGGTAGTGCAAACAGGCCCAATTCACAGCCCAGTTTAAATTAACAGCATTCATGTCATGATTTGTCATTTTTTTCTCTAGGTGTGAGTTGAATTTTTAGCTAAAATTATGTGACATGATAGATATAACTCACACCTCAACCTGCGCTCGCCATCCAGTCACTAAAAACTCAAGGGAAAGAACCCTCCGCTCCTCTCCCAATATTCACATCTTCTCCTCATCCCTTCCATATCTATTTGCCTCCTCGTCGCAACAAAAAATGGTTGCGGATCCTTCGACGTCTCACGCCGACCAAAAAAACTACCTACTGAGTAGACTAGTACACCTTGTCAGACTCCCACGTTACTTACTTGACAGATGACTAATGCACAACCAAGAATAAAAGCCTAAAGTGACAACTGAGCATACCCCTGAGATCCCAAACTTCTTCTAGCTAGACGGTGCCCCTGACCCCGAAACTGCTGCAGATACGGTGCCACTGGCCGCGCTGCTACTATGGACGTTGCCTTAATCCATTGGAGGGCCCTCATGGCATGCACCGCTCGACAGCACCAGCGCCTGGCTACTGCCGTCTGGAACATGGCCGGCATGACACAACAGCAGGTCATTCAGCTCTAGGTACACTTCGCCTGCCACCGGTTCCAGCAAAGGGTCGATCAGCCGAACGCCGCACGAGTCACACTGCTTGCAGAGGCTAACCAGTGAAGAAGGCACAACTTGGTCCGTTATGTCAAATATAGCTTCACTATCGTCAAACAATGCTTCTGTGTCATGGTAAGTGGTCGAATCAGACTGCATCCAAACCAAAGAAAAAGTTAAATTAAATGCATAACATCGAGTTGACACAGTGAGAGCAAGTCACAGAAAGAAAAATTACCGATGGACCATCTTGGCCTACATGATTCGTCGAGAGACAACCCAGTATATCATCTAACTGCTGTATATGTATCCTGTCCCAGTTAACATCCGGACGAGAAGCCCTGTCAGGATGGACACCACTGGAGGAGCTCTTGCCGTTATTTGCTGACAAAATGCTCAAGGAAGTCCTGCTGCCATCACAAACCGATTGACCCGCAGAGTTCAACACACCACCATGGCTTGGTCCAGGTGCGGAAGAATGGGATAACAAGTAAGCTTCCCCATTTGGATCATTCATTTCCTCTTCCTCTTCCTCGAATGGAGCGCCATACTGTTCCCCAATCTTGGGACCTGGACCACTTTTCTGATAGACTTTGCAGAGAACGAAATCGTCCTGCAATAATAGATAGACAATAAATTAACATACTGCTTGCAGTACAAGTGGAGCTAACAAACATTTTGCTAGTAACAAAACGGAAAAAGTTCACATCAGTGCTAACTTTTCTCGGTCGAAGAATAAACTAACTAACTCCTTGAGTTTGAGGAGTGGATAATGGCTGCAATTCTTTGATTATGACACAGTTTGTTTCCTGCTGTTTGGAGCTTTCTATCTTTGCTACTTATGGCGCACTTCCCAAAATCTCCGGATATAATTTACCAGAAGGGTATTTGGAGCACTCAATGTATGTTCTTTTTATTGCGGGGAGCACTCAATGTACGTTGGTGCCACGTGTAATGTATGTTGGAAACACTTCAGATTGTACTGGAAAAGGAAAACTTGCATCTTACTCAACATTAAATAGTTCAGACACATGTTGAGCGATAATTTGCTGAATCATGCATGGCATGCCATGTCGGTGTCGTTGCATCGTCTATACGTTAAAATTTTGATCTCTTCTATAGTTCTATACACATGAATACAAGTTCCATTCATTTCCAAAACAACTCCGTAAATAACTGAAAAATAATTTTCCAGGGGAGTAAGCAATCATCAATCGTAAACAACTGAAAAATAATTTTTCAGGGGAGTAAGCAATCATCGATCTGACGCAAACAAGTGAGTTAGGAGCAAGAATCCCGTTTCATAGAAGAGATAGTGAAACTAGCACAAAGACAGCAAAGAAGCTTACCAGTCTAACACCAGCATTAGGAATTTCGCTTTCGACCAGCCTATATTCATGCATGACCCAGTCAGTTCTTTTCTCCTTGCGTCCCTTGCCAGCATGAAACACCAGCGTCCTCTTCATCCCAACAGTCCGAGAATTATAGACCACCTTCCTGTCCTTTCCAGTAGCTTTCCAGCGCCCAGCTTGGTTTGACCGGTTAGTTCTTGACCCGGTAGGGTACTTCCGACCGCAAGTACAAAAGAAATACCACTGAAGATCCCCAGTTGGCATTGAAGATTTCCCTGAAACAAACGATTCGAAGAGTTTGTAGGACAGTCCTGTGCAAAGTAGCATGTTTGACAGCCGCATGTAAACACAAACATGTGGTCATGCAGTACTTTCAAATGTTAGTAATGCGAGAGGGGGGTAAATAAAATTCAAGTATACCTGGAAGATCCCAGGGGGCGAATTTGTAGATATCGATTTCTGTAACAGCATTGCGGCGCAACTTTTTACCCAGTATCTTCCTCTTTAGATAGTAGAGGATGAGTTCAACATCGGTCGGTTGGAACCGGTATCCAGGAGGGAGCGGCGCCACTTCCATTGGGGGAATTGAGGCGGAGCTTCGGTGACTATCAAATCCAATACCGAGATATTATTGAGCACCAGAAGCGACAGCGGCACACCGGCGCAAGAAAGCACAGGTAATCCTTTGTTGTGGCATCAAAAGACATCTGAGTCGTGAGGACGGACACCGTCCTGTACGAGGAAACTGATTGTTACAAAACATATACTGCGCTCTCGAAAGAGATGTGCATTCTTCTGTTCCGACAAACAAATGGCAGGAGGACCGTATTTATTTGTGTAATGTAACAAAACAAATAAAAGTGGAACTGTGTTGGAAGTTGGAACAGAGCATAGCAGGACACAAATGAATGGACCTGCAGGTTTGCCAACCATATGTGTAAGCAAATCCAATCAATCACATGTCAGTGCTTACTACTACATACAATTCGGATTTAAACAAACATTACCAAGCAAAGAATACGTATTTGGCTATGCAAGCAATGCAGAGATATGGGAAATTGATTAACTTTCAGACTAGATACAGAGATAGATATAGGGTTGCGGCTGATGGGACCGGCATTGACGAGAGAATCTTCCATCGAAAGCCAAGTTGTTGGAGTGAAGAGAGGAGGGGAGGGAGGGACTTACGCCGCCGGTGCTGCTGGCGAGGGAGCGGGCAGGGGAGACTCGGCGGCGGAAGGCGGTGGGGCTGCGGCTTGGGAGGGGTCTTTCTCAAAAACCCATTCTACTAGGCTCGGTTGGGCCGGCCTCCCTCCTGGGCTGAGCTCAATGTTATCCGCGCGCCTCATAAAGAAAGAAGTTCATATTTCACCCTCCTAAAATGTGTGCTCACGAACACATAACCCACGAATTCAATTTTACAAATTCAACCCTTTTTTAAAAATTGTCAGCGCGCGTGGATCGGGGATGGGGGGGAGGAGGGAGGCTCCCCCCTTGATACAGGTTGGCTTGCCGGCGAGCTCTCTTGAGGCAGCAACACGAACGAACCAATGGACGACGAGCCGGTCCACGCTGCTCAGGGTGGACACGGTCCGGGCCGGTCCGGTCCCGGTCCGAGCCGACGAAGCCCGGGCCGGACCGAGCGGACCGGCCAACGACCACCGGCGGCGACTTGCACGGGTGCAGCGGCGTGGTGTACGACGTGCGCAGGTGCTGTGGCGAGGTGGGTGACATGCGCGAGCGCCAGTGTCGAGGTGGGCGACGTGCCGTGGGAAGTGCGTGGGCGCCACGGCTCTTTGCCATGAACGTGCACATGTTTGTTGATTAGCAGTTTTTCCGTTGCATGCAAGTAATCTATCGTGTGCATGAGCCCATGATTTCTCGTGTGCGGGCCTTGCGTGATTAGCGGTGGAGTTAATCGTCAAACGGTAGCGTGATTTTTAGATCAAGCCATGTTTTCTCGTACTTTCAGTTTTCTGTTTTACTGGACAAAAGGAAACGGCACCATGGGATCGCGCGTGACGCGATTATAGGAAGCTGACGGTACAAAATCTAGCACCTTCCAAAACAACACTTGCCTGATTAGTTGGACGAGAAAATCACGGCCCAGCGTTTGTCCCACGATGCGAAAATCATGGCCGAGCGTTTCATGCGTGCGTGCGTGTGTGCTCTGCTGAAACTGTTGCCGTGATCGAGAACTCGCGAACGGCGGCAGTGCACGCACGACATCGACGGCGAGCGGTGGAAAGAGGCTATGGGGCACGAAGAGGAGAATAAGGAAGGAGAGGGCAAGCTCTGGGACACGGTGGTTCACCCAAGGGCCACCGGTGGCCGCGACGATGACTGCGTTTCTCGGTCCGCTCGGTCGGCTCGGTTAAAGACCGGACTGGACCGACATTTTTTCGGGCCTGATATGGTAGACCGGACCGTTCAATTTATGTAGCGGGGCAGGACCGACAGGGCCAAGACCGAGCGGGCCACGAGCAGCCGGAAAGCCCGCTCGGTACGTCCTGTTGGGGAACGTAGTAATTTCAAAAAATTTCCTACGTACACGTAAGATCATGGTGATGGCATAGCAACGAGAGGGGAGAGTGTGGTCCATGTACCCTCGTAGACCGTAAGCGGAAGCGTTATGACAACGCGGTTGATGTAGTCGTACGTCTTCACGATCCGGCCGATTCAAGTACCGAACGTACGGCACCTCCGAGTTCAGCACACGTTCAGCTCGATGACGATCCCCGGACTCCGACCCAGCAAAGCTTCGGGGATGAGTTCCGTCAGCACGACGGCGTGGTGACGATGATGATGCTCTACCGGCGCAGGGCTTCGCCTAAACTCCGCGACGATATGACCGAGGTGGAATATGGTGGAGGGGGGGGGGGCACCGCACACGGCTAAGGAACGATCCGTAGATCAACTTGTGTTGTCCTAGAGGTGCCCCCCTGCCCCCGTATATAAAGGAGCAAGGGGGGAGGGGGCGGCCGGCCTAGGAGGGGCGCGCCAAGGGGAGTCCTACTCCCACCGGGAGTAGGACTCCCTCCTTCCTTGTTGGAGTAGGAGAAGGGGGAAAGAGGGGGAGAGGAGGAAGGAAAAGGGGGCCGCACCCCTTGTCCAATTCGGACCAGAGGGGGGCTGCCCGCCTCCTTCCTTTCGGCCTCTCTCCTCTATTCCCGTATGGCCCAATAAGACCCATATACTCCCCGGTGAATTCCCGTAACTCTCTGGTACTCCGAAAAATACCCGAATCACTCGGAACCTTTCCGAAGTACGAATATAGTCGTCCAATATATCGATCTTTACGTCTCGACCATTTCGAGACTCCTGGTCATGTCCCCGATCTCATCCGGGACTCCGAACAAACTTCGGTACATCAAAACTTATAAACTCATAATAAAATTGTCATCGTAACGTTAAGCGTGTGGACCCTACGGGTTCGAGAACTATGTAGACATGACCTAGAACTATTCTCGGTCAATAACCAATAGCGGAACCTGGATGCCCATATTGGTTCCTACATATTCTACGAAGATCTTTATCGGTCAAACCGCATAACAACATACGTTGTTCCCTTTGTCATCGGTATGTTACTTGCCCGAGATTTGATCGTCGGTATCCAATACCTAGTTCAATCTCGTTACCGGCAAGTCTCTTTACTCGTTACGTAATGCATCATCCCGTAACCAACTCATTGGTCACATTGCTTGCAAGGCTTATAGTGATGTGCATTACCGAGAGGGCCCAGAGATACCTCTCCGACAATCGGAGTGACAAAACCTAATCTCGAAATACGCCAACTCAACATGTACCTTCGGAGACACCTGTAGTACTCCTTTATAATCACCCAGTTACGTTGTGACGTTTGGTAGTACCCAAAGTGTTCCTCTGGTAAACGGGAGTTGCATAATCTCATAGTTACAGGAACATGTATAAGTCATGAAGAAAGCAATAGCAATATACTAAACGATCAAGTGCTAGGCTAACGGAATGGGTCATGTGAATCACATCATTCTCCTAATGATGTGATCCCATTAATCAAATGACAACACATGTCTATGGTTAGGAAACATAACCATCTTTGATTAATGAGCTAGTCAAGTAGAGGCATACTAGTGACTATATGTTTTTCTATGTATTCACACATGTATCATGTTTCTGGTTAATACAATTCTAGCATGAATAAAAAACATTTATCATGATATGAGGAAATAAATAATAACTTTATTATTGCCTCTAGGGCATATTTCCTTCACGTCCACCCTGACACGTCGCACATCACCATGAGCGGTGTTGGCGCACTTCACCAACATGGTGAAGGAATAGCGGGAGGTGGTGTTCCAACAGGCGCAAGCTGACTAGAGGTGCAACCTCCGGCTCCTCAACGAGCACCGGCTTGCGGAGGAGCAAAGCGCCCGCACGAGCATCGTGGCGGATGTGGGGTATAGAGACTAAGCATTGCCTCCCATATTTCTTGCAGGTGAAAATATTTGGAGTGGTGAGATTTCAAAGACCTAAAACCTGGCTAAACCCTGCTAGATTATCCAGGCCGTTGGAACGCATCTGCCGAAAACGGCCGCTGGATATGTTGGGGCAAGAGGCCCTTTAATTCAGCTCCACCCACTCCCTCATGACGCAGCTGGTTTTCAAAGCCGGCCCAAGCATAAAGACTTACTACACTGCGCTCTACGCACTTGAGAAGACACAACGCGCCCGTTTGGGCCGGCCCATGTGCAGGCATCTATTTTTCTAGTTTTGTTTTTTACTTTTATTTTTCTATTCCTTTTTGTTTTCTTTACTTTAAATAAATTGGAACTTCAAAAAACTATGAATTTTGAAATAAAATTTTCACGAAAACATAAAATGTTTGTAAATTCAAAAAATGCTCCAGTTTTTTCTAAAAATGTTGGCATATTAAAAAAATGTTTGCAATTTTGGAAAAAAAATGTTCGTAAAATCAAAAAAAAATCCATCATTTTGAAAAAAGTCCATGTACTAGATTTTTTTTAGGCGAAACCAATGCCCGCTCTAGGAAACATAAATAAACATAATTATTCTGGTCCTAACATGTGAGTAACCCAAGTCCTGATCTTGTCTGCCTTCTTTGGTTTAGCTCTTAATTCCGATGCCCATAAACCCTCTCTGAGGTAGAACTTCCATCTATTGAGATGAGGTGGTGCATACCTGAGATTTTGTCATTTCTGACCTACCATAATCCCCAGCGACCCATGATGATTATGTCAAAAGCAATCTCTGATGGCAAGGTGTTCATGGCTAGTGAGATTTCATCATGAGATGAAACCCCTCTTTGTTTATATGGAAGAATTAAATCGCAACATGCCATGGCAAATGGACAGTCCCAAAAAAGATGCAGGGATGTTTCTTCAGTGTGGTGTGAGCATAGAGCACAATTATAGTCTGGCAGGTACATGTTTTTGTTATGAAGCATATTCCTTGTGTTTAATATGTCCTGATAGAGCATCCAGAAGAATATCTTATGCCTAAGTATGCATGAGGAGCTCCAAATATGCTTGAAAATTGAAGGAAATATGCCCTAGAGGCAATAATAAAGTTGTTATTTAT